TGGTATAAGTTTTATTTTTACTAACATTTTTTAAAATTAGAAATGAAATTTAAGAATAGGCGACTCTATACAACAAATTTCATAATTATAAACTAAAAGTGAAGAAAACTATATAAAAATTTCAACACGGTATAGATTTTTAATGATTGACTTACCTAAGATGACTACTAAAAAAGGTTAAACCCCAACCTTAAGGGTCCCCATCACCCCTGTCCTGGAGTATCGTGAGGGAGGTAAATCGCAGGTTATGCCTTCAAGGGTATAGGGTGGAAGGCTGCTTGTACACTTGCACTTACCCAAGAGCCAAATCCATATTTCAGGATTCGAACCCTTGACGCAGCAGCCTCCAGCAAATCTGGATTTCTCCACCCTCCCCTTTTACTACTTGGAGATGTGCCCTGGAGGCTACCTAAGATGACTACTAAATTTTACTTCTGGTAGTATTCTTTGATTTTGTACTAAGTATAAACGTTAGATTATTCATTTTCTGTTTTACAGTATAAGTATTGAATTCAAAGTAAATATAGACATTTGATGATTAACATTACTTTAACATGATAATAGCTTTTTATTCCTAATAAAATTCTTGAATTTTTTGTAAGTAGAGATGTCAAATGATCAACCCTAATGAGTAATTTCTAGCCATTGTTACTTTTGAAAATTAATTTTATTAAAAATAACTTTTTAGGGAATATGCCCCTATTTGGTTCCATTAAAAATCTTGATTAGAAGTTAAATAAAAATCAATACTTAATTTTAATCAAATGTTTAATTGAATTCACAATTTTTTAACTATACATTTTATTAATTTTTATCAAATTCTATTTAAAATTTGGAACCGAAACTTTGTAAAGAAAAAAATTTGAATTCTGGGACGTCTTAATTGAGAAGGTTGACCAAATGGCGATGAATTTTGATTGGTTTGATGTACATAAACCCAATCACAGTCTCTGGTGAACACCCAATCACAGTCTCTGGTGAACTGCCTCCCAGTTCATCCCTGTTTGATTCCAATTTTTGAAGAATGTATTTTTGTAAATCTTATTTTTTACCATACATCCTCCTATAAAACAATTATATACGTATTTCAAAAGGGGGGGTTTTTTTTTTTTTTTTTTTTTTTCTTTTTTCCTTTTAGTTTTTAAAATTTGGATTGACTTTTTTTATTGGTTATTTATATGGTATTCGAAAATGTGGTTATGACTTTCATTCTTGTTGCTGTTATTCTTATATTTTGTAATATTTTCCGAGTTATGGTGTCGAATTTCTGCTGTTTTGCAATGTTTGTTTTGCTAAGGAGTTCGGCAGTCCGAAAAAACATAGAAAAATCCAACTGTTTTTGCTTGCTTGAATCGCCCTGTTTTTGGAAAATAATATAGGTCTGTTAAGACTTTGGGCTTCCATCTTAAAAGTTAATAGGAGTAAACCAAGACCTTATAAGGTGGTCAATGTTTTCATTTTTATTCAAGGTGGGATTATATCTCTTAACATGCCCTCCAAAATGGTGGCTTGTTTGAGCGGAACAATCTTAAAATCCGCATACTCATTTTTTGAGTCTTAATCTGATCGAATCGCTCGTTAGAGTTTAATTGGATTTGATACCATGTTAAGACTTGAGTTCCATCTTAAAAGGTCAACCTTATTAAGAGGAGTTACCGAAATCTTATAGAGTGATCAACGTTTTCATCTTTATTCGATGTGAGATTATATCCCTTAATAAGGTCATAGTATGATTCTTGCATTCTCTCTCGAGTGCATATGCAATCAATCTTAATTTTTCTCAAATTTCCGTTTATTAGGAAAAAATAGCATTATTATTCTGTAAATTTTAAAGATCTTGGAGCAAAATTACCAATTGATTATACTTAATTACTTAAGTAGTGAGTTTTGGCGTTTATTGGTAATCATATTTCCATTTCAATTTACTGTTCTTGGAAGACCATGCTGAAGTTTATGCTTGATTTTGCTTACTTATCCCTTCTGGGCTCTCATTAGGTCTATGAGTTTAGCATCACCCATTTCGCGCTTAAGGTTACATTTAAATTTTCGAGAAGTTCCTTTTTTTTCCTGGCAAGAGTGGATTTCTTTAATTCGTAGTTTTAAAAATATATTGCTAGGAAATTCTCGTCTTGATTGTTCTTATATAATCATTTCTGGACTTTTACTTAGCAAATTAAAGTTGTTCTTTAATTGACAGTAGTACACTGTCTTGTAGATATTCCATTGATGTCATGTTTATGTTTGACACAACTGGACAAGATTTTGTAGTTACTTCATTTGCCGCCTGGTTCAAAGTGTTACACAAGACATTGACTTTGAAAATGTTTTGTGCTTAAAGTTGTTGCTTTTCTAAAGAAATGCCACATGATCGAGCTTTGTTAGTGTCCATGTGGTGCTTGCTTAATTTCATGTTGATTGGATAGTTTGCCTTATCTCATGGAATGAATAGCTTCTCCTGTTTCATAAAATGATAAACATTCTTCTTTTGTTGTCTGTTCTTAAATATTGCGAGGCCTACTATGACCACATATAACTGTTATGAACTTTTTGGATGGTTTGTCATATTTTGGTTGCATTATCATAATCATGTTTTTTGTTATGGTGACAGCAGTGGATTGATTCGTTGTTATTAGACTAGCATCCAACTTAGATCTTTGGAATTTAAAGTCTTCTACTACGTGATGAGTTCTTCTCAACCGTGCACTTAGAATCTTGGTGTAAATTATCTTGTCTGTTTATCATATTCATGACACTCGGGGATTCTCATTTCCTAAACCTGCTCTTTCAGACTCCATCCTATTCTTCCCACACGGACACATGACGGGTGTGCATGTGTGTGGAGCGGTGTGTATTAGATTAAGATGTTATATTCGTTTTTTAAGTTATTCTGATTTCTTGCACGTGCAACAATTATGTATTGTAACATTCCACCTGGTCTTACATATATGGCATAGCATAAATGATGTAAATTTTTAGATTCAATTGGTTCTGTTAGTAACCATGTGTTCCCTGATTTAAAAAATCAAGCTTTTGGTAAAAAGAAATTTGGAATGTTGTTTCTGAATCTTCTATTGTAGTTTGCACAGGACTACAGCAAATGCTGGATCTCCACTGCGAGAATCAGATCGGCTAAATTCTTCTGGAAAGAATGAAAGTCTCCCAGTTGAGGAACCCGATCAATCTATTGATGGCACAAAGCAGCAGTTTAACGTGTCATTCAATAAATCCAGGAAAAGAAATAATGATGGGTCGAATGGAAAAATGCACATAGCACAACTCCATGCCGTTCCTGGATTTGCTTCTTTTGTTGATGGAACTGCTCATCTACATAAGACAGAAGGAAATAGGCCTGTACCTTCGCTGAAACGTGAAGTTAGTCGTGCCTGGAGCTTTAGTGCTGAAGTTGAACAAAATCATGGCAGGAAATCTGAGGCACATATCTCTAATAATCAAATTTCTAACAGTGCTGTCAAAGGAGAAAGTGGATTAGGTTTGGATGAATCACATGTCACTGATAAACCGCTTAATGCAGAGAATATTGATCTTCAATCACATGATTCAAAAATCCCGCCATCTTCAAGTTTTCAACCAAATCTAAATGAGCAGAAGGGCCCCAGGCGAACAAGCTCATCAAGTTTTGGCTCCAAAGCTGATGCTTCACAAAAGATTGCTGGCGACCCTTCAAGTTTTCAAGTCCTGCCACCTTCAAATTTTCAACCGAATCTAAATGAGCAGAAGGATCCCAGTCGAACAAGGTCATCAAGTTTTGGCTCTAAAGCTGATGCTTTAGAAAAGATTGCTGGCAACCCTTTAAGTCTTCAAGTCCCACTGCCTTCAACTTTTCAAACAAATCTAATTGATCAGAAGGGGCCCAGGCGAACAAGGTCATCAAGTTTTGGCTCAAAAGCTGATGCTTCCGAAAAGATTGCTGGTGACCCTTCAAGTCTTCAAGTCCCGCCACCTACAAGTTTTCAACCAAATCTAATTGAGCAGAAGGGCCTCAGGCGAGCAAGATCATCAAGTTTTGGCTCAAAGGCTGATGCTTCAGAGAAGATTGATGGCAACACCTTGCCACCTTTTTTTGATGAGGAACTAGATGTTAGTTCAGTTGCTGCAGCATCTGCATTGGCGTTAAAGAAAGCAGTTGAGCAGGCTCAAGAAAGTATAAGAATTGCTAAAGAGATAATGGAGAGGAGAAGGGAATGTTTTCAAGATGATTCTAAACAAAGTCGTAGGGGTCTCTTAAAAGTTAAGAAAAATAAGAAGGAAAAGGGAATTGTTCCTGAGGCAAACATATCAAAAAAGAACAATGCTCCAGAAACATATGAAGGCCTAGATCCTGTATTGCCAGCATTAAATGAGGTAGATAGGAAATTTGCTTCATTCCATGGACTCAAAGAGCCAATTTTTAATGCTGGGAAGATTGAGGAGGAAAAGCTTCAGGAAAATGTTAAAGCATCTGATGAACATGCTGAGGCAAGAAGTTCTCATGGATTGGAAACCACTGCAGAGAGTAGAACAGTAACTTTGGGTGCTGTACAGGTGAACAATAGCATCAACTCTGTGCATTCTATGGATAAACTTGTATCTGACATTGAGGAGATAGAACCAGTTGAGAAAACCTTGGACCGGGCTGAGGAAGTTTTTGATTGTAAGAAAGGAGCAGCAAACGTTGCTGAACTAGGGGATCTGGGGAGCATTCTTGATGCTTCCCAGAGGGTGCAAGAACTGAAGGAGATTGTGGATGAAGCATGTGAACATCTGAGTATCAGCAAGGATGATGCCGGGACAGAGGAGAAACGAAATATTTTTGCCGAAAATGGAAAGTGTACTGAGAAATTTGAATGGCGTCAGGAAAATGTTAATTGGGAACAGCTTGAGTTGCAGAAGTTGGCGTTTGACCATCTGCTAAATGATACACAGAATCATCCTGAGAAGGAGAAGGAACAAGAAGCTCAGAGACAAGAACAGATGGAGAAGAAAGTGGAAAGCGTTTCGAAGTGGAAACAAAATTACCACCAACCTGCAAAGTGTTATGATGAAGAAATTGCTTTAATGAAAGAAGAGCCTAATTTATGGTTTGAAACAGAAGAGGACCCAAAAGAGGCCTTGGAGAAAGCAATCAATGAGAGGGAGCAAAAAGTCTTCCAAGAGGCAGGAGAAGGAGAAGTTAAAAAGAGGTTAGATGGAGATAATGAACCAGAAATTGATGAGAAGAAACCTGACTGTGCTTATGATGGAGATGAGCAAGGGAAACCAGAACATGAATGCGAAGTAATTGAAGAGAGACATGCAGAGACTTCTGAACATGAAGCAGCTGAGACGAGGCTGATGAACGAAAATACATGTGCTGAAGATCAGAAAATTGCAGCCTCTCTGGAGGCTGAAGAAATGATCAGTACACTAAGTGGAACAGGCAAAATTGAGGATCATCATGGCATATGTGACTTGCAGGAGGCTGTTCTTGAGAAGGACTTTGATATCTCTATTGATGCATATGGTGGTGGTTCAAGCATCGTGGTCACTGGGACTCAGGAAGCGTGCACTGTTGAATTAAATGATAACAGTGTAGACAAAATTCAACAAGCAGTTGAAAGTGACAGAGAGAGAGACGGCACACTGAGAGTAACTGAAACATCTTCTGCAATTGTAAAAAATGAGGAAGAAGAACCAGTTGAAGAAACCTTCCCACAGGAGGATAATGAAATGCTCAAGACGGCTTCCTTGCTTCGAAGTGCTTCTGAAATGAATTTTGTTGCTAGCAAACTGCGTAATGCCTTTGAAGCTCTTTCTTCTGATGGCAATACTGAAAATTCCAGTGACATAGATGCAAGCCATGAGGAAAAGCTGCAAAAGGACGGGGATGCTTTCCAAACATCTGACCAGATCCGCAATGCAGCTCATGAGGAAAATGCTAATGAAAACGATTGGCAAGATCTCCCCGAGTTCCATGCTTGTGGTGAAAAAACTACTGACCTTGATATCACATATGTAAAAGTTGCAGTAGAACAAATTTCGGAAAGTGATGAAGGATTTGAATCAATTTCCAGTCTGGTGAACATAGATGACTTTTCAGTTCATGAAACACAAGCATTTGAAGAACATGTGGAGAACGAGGCCTTAAGTGAGGAAGAAGATGTAGATTGTCTCAAAATGACTTGTAATAAGGTGAAATGCGTTGAGGAACAAAACGAAGGGGTATCCTCTGTACCCAGTGAGGCCAAACAGAATGGGGAATCTGTGGAAACTGAAAGTGTGACAGAAACAGGCCAAAACATTGAAAACAATTCAGAGGACAGATTCTCTACCATGGAAGACGGAGTTGCCAAAGAAAATGTGCATAAAGTTGAGAAGAATGATTGCCAGCAAAGAATCGAAGCTATTAAGAGGGAAAGAGAGCGAGAAAAAGAAAGAATAGCTGTCGAAAGAGCAATTCGTGAAGCTCGCGAGAGGGCATTTGCTGAAGCTAGAGAAAGGGCAGAAAGGGCAGCCGTGGAGAGAGCAGCAGTCGAAGCTCGACAAAGTGCCATGGCAGAGGCATGTGAGAAGCTTGAGAAAGCCTCTGCATCGGCTAGACAATCAGCCGATAAAGCCACCACTGAATCCAAGCTCAGAACAGAACGCGCTGCAGTAGAGAGAGCTACAGCAGAGGCTCGTGAACGTGCTCTAGAGAAAGCATTCTCCCAGAAATTTTCTGGTGCCTCCAGAAATAATGCTTTAAAACACAGTTATTCTTCCTCGGTGAGTATCAGTTTATTTGTTAATTGCTCAGACTGCAGCAATTAATCACATGTTAGAAGAGTGATAGATTTAATTTCCCACAGGACCTGGAGGGGTTTGATGGAAATTACGATGAATCAGCCCAGAGGCGTAAAGCTAGATTAGAGAGGCATCAGAGGATAATGGAGCGAGCGGTACACACACCTTACTGTTATTTATGTTGCTGTTTGATTTTTAGATTGCTTAAAGGGCTTATTATCTTTTTTCTGTTCAATAGGCAAAAGCACTTGCAGAGAAAAATATGCGTGATCATCTTGCTCAGAAAGAGCAAGCTGAGAGAAATGTAATATTTCTTCCAACAAATTTGAAGTTGACATTCCAGGTGCACTGAATGTCTTTTAACTTGTAATTAATTTTTAATTGCAGAGACTAGCAGAATCTCTTGACGCTGACATTAAGAGATGGGCGACTGGAAAGGAGAGGAACCTACGTGCACTGCTTTCGACTTTGCAATATGTATGCATTGGTGCCCCCATCTATTTCACCACTTCAGTCTTCTGCTTTATTTTGTCATCAAGGAGCTATTTTGTCTGAAAGTGAGAGTTATATAAATGAAAAATATGAATATGAATTAGATCAGCCACCCATATTTGGCATTAACTTGGTGCTCGTTAGATAAAACTTTTATCAACTTCTCAACTCATCAAACTTCTATTTTAACCACACATTTAATGAGACTCACAACTTTTATCAACTTTTGAACCACACATTTCACCATCTCTTAATTGTCATCTGCAGATCCTTGGGCCAGACAGTGGTTGGCAACCAATTTCCTTAACTGAGATCATCACAACTCCCGCCGTGAAGAAAGCTTACAGAAAGGCAACCCTTTATGTACATCCTGACAAATTGCAGCAAAAAGGAGCTAGCATTCAACAAAAATACATATGTGAAAAGGTTTTCGATCTTCTTAAGGTATGCTTTATTTTCTCTTCAAATGTAAAATAGATTACTGTTTTGCGGTCCTAGAGACATCGATATATAGATTGAGAATTTAATAATACCTTACCGTCATCGTAAGAACACCTTTTGTTTCATCAGTAATGACTACAGATAGCCTTTGAAGTCGACTTAGTTTCTACCTGAAATGCAAAATGTTGCATTAAAAGTAAAGTCGTGTTCTTTTCGTCGAAATGGCATAAATACAAATACATATTCGTCTTGGTGACTCGTGCTACATTTTATGTTTATTTTGTGCTCACCTGCACTCTTGTTCTGTCAACCTCAGGCAGCGTGGAACAGATTCAACTCAGAGGAGAGGTGAATAAATGACATGCAGTGAAAATATCAACTGTGAGATGCTGTGATTGCATTTAGCATAGTTGTCGAAACTGAAATTTTAGCCGTGGGAAATGGCTAATTTTCTGGATAGAATGGTGTAGGGCCTGTGACATGCAGGTTGATTAAAAAATTTAATTCTGGCTCAAATGGTTCACTTTCTTTCCCATGGAAGATGATAAATATGATTGGATTCTTCACGTCAACGTTCATTCAATGGCTTCATTTCATTATTTGCTGGTAGATAGTGCAGACAGCTGAATCGTTGTATGGATAGACATGTTAGGGAATACACTGATTTAAATGTGCATATTATATTCACAAAACGTAACTTACACATTCATGAAATCAAAACAAGGTTTTGACTTATCGAAATGTAATTTGAGAAACTAACCAATGATTATTGAATCTGATTATTCCCATTCTTGAATTAAAACATGTGATTCTTCTTATCGAACTTTGTATAAACCATATAAATAAAATTAATCATTTTCTGAAATCAAGTATGAAGAAATGAAATGAGAAATAAGAAAAAAATTAGATGCGAGTAATGCGATTGGTCGAGGCGAGTATAACTCTTTCCTTAAGATGAATTTGCTTCGCATCGGTACTAACGATTTTTCAACAATCATCTCCCAAGATATAACGATCACGTCAAGCCATAGGAGCATTCCAAATGACTTCAATCAACGAACTCGAATGGAATTTTCTTTCTATCATAACAATGATTTTGATGCAAAAGATAATTACTTTTACAAAATGTTTTATGTAATTTAACATGAAATGAATAGTATTGAATTATGGAATGAATTGGAATGACAAATACACATCCAAGGGATCCTATATATAGAAGATGAAGGGTTGTGGGTGAAGGGACACACTCCAAATCTAACATTTTCATGGAAAGTTGCAACACTTCATTCTTTCAACTTTGGTTCGCAATTTCTCATTCATCTGGAATTGGTTTCGAGATTTCAAATATACCACGACGATCTACTCGACAAGTAGAATGAGTTGGTTTATTTACTTTTGTAATTTGACCATCATATCAAGTCCGAACATTCGACCGAAGTTGACACGAAGTCACACCTTTTTATTTTCCCAATTTTAAACTTAACTAATTTTCGATTAATTTTTGAACCAATTTCAACAATCCCCCACATGAATGGAAATTTGACTATACAAATGCAATGCTATGATGTGATGCAAGTAGAGAGAGAGCGGAAAGTCACTGCATCGGGAATAGTAGCTTCTGGCCTTGAACCTCCCATAGTGAAATATCATCAAACTTACTCAGCTAATTGGTGAACGTGATGTCTTGAACCATTCAGCCTTTAGTGTAAGCCAAGACAACGATACTCACACAGATGTCTTTCCTAAACCGTTCATGGTTATCATGACTTGGTTTATTTTGGCCCTGAACCCTTCTTAGTTCTGCGAGTGTTTAGAGTATTTAAGCCTTAAATAATTCTCATCGGAGCGGCCCCACTTTACACTCATATAGGTGACCTTCTATTAAGAGTATTCTACCCTACTCCACTTGACTTAATCAAGATATAGGAATCATTAAAAGATTATTTTAATCTCTTACAACTCTGCAGAAAGCACTTTAATATCATAGGAATGAGTTAGGAAATTATTTTCCTTAGTGCTTTATGTAATCCTCATAACTTAGTTGTCCTTTTGAACTAAGATCTTGGGATCTCCAGTCAACAATGTAGGGTTACCATTACAAGGACTCTAATGTAGTAGGCTTTATCTCATTCCCTTCGATATGCAGTATGCAGTATTCTTGATCTCTCTTATTAAATCTCTTTAAAGGTACCACGAGTTTACACCATTGAGATCAACTGTTTAATGGTATTATGTCTATAACTTATACGTCTAGACCTACCATTACATGTGACTTAGTATCTTATCAATTATTGCTAGCAAACGATCAATTTCATTTAATAGATACAAATTGTTACCATCAAGAAATCCTCTCATGAAGCTACATGCTTCTTATTAGCTTTATCTAAAACTTTATCAATTCCAAACAAGATTGAATGATTTATATCTAATTATTACACTAGTCAACCATGTTTACTAGTGGATTTCAGAGTCATGGGTATTCAATATCATCATTGAAACATAACAGTGCATTCGAACTTTATGAATATTCTTCATATATTTCAATTGTTCTTGCATGTCTAAACAAACGTCATAATCGGCTTTACAACCCATTTCATCCATTTTAGACTTAGATATATATCATCCTTATAATTAGAATAAGGGTTTTCTATCTTTCCACCTTCATTGGTATCGTTATATGATTATAAGAAAGAAGCAAATGTAACTGTTAAATTGAGTTACCCCCACAATTCCTCAATTAGGAATACATATGCAATCTAGTAATGTTGCATCCACAAGTTTTGAACTTTCCATTTCAAGTTCACAAGCATTAACCCCCCACATTTTTGGGTTATACTTGAACTTAAAGTTCATCAACTCTTTTATAGTTCAATTCATAATATCTGTATCGAGTGCTTTGTGAAAATCTATGTACTTTCAAAGTAGTGGTCGTCGACTCACAATTTATTTCAATTAAAGTTGAATATAACGTACTTCAATCCAATTCTTTTAAATTTGAGCAAGGTCAACACATAGACCCAAACACAATTTAGGATTCGTAAACTAGAATTGCAACTCATCAAACTTGTGACACTTCATGAGAGAGTGCCATGTCATTTCATATTTAAACAAGAAGGCACCTATTCAAAAAAGAATTTCAGTTTGTCATCAATGAAAGTTCATATACTTTCACAATTAGTGGCATCTTACCAAACATCAGGAATATTTTTTCTCCTTTCTATCCATTCGTTGTTTGGCTCGAATTAGCCCCAGCGATATCCATTTCTTTATACATCCGTTGCATAAATGCATTCCATCTATAGGAATGTCAATGTCATTTTAAATCATCACGCCAAAGGATATTCGATGCTACTGCCAGCCATAGGCACCATCTATGCCTTATAGAAAATATTTCAGTAACCAATAATTGGGTAAGCAATTCATTCATATTTAATGGCTTTTTCTATAGTATGTACAATAGCATTAGAAAGTCAATTTCTTTCTTGACTCCCCAAAGAAGTGGCTGTTTACCATTACAAGCCATAGTCATCGAAACCATCGTAAGTGGGCACTTTCCATTGCCTTCTCCATTTGGAAGTAAAATATTTGGACTTTGCTATATGAACATAATGGGCTATATCGGGGGCTACATAATGGACACGTGGCACCTCAGCATTGGTCAAGGCGCTTGCCGCACCTTGGGCCCACAGGCGCCTCGCCAACTGCGAGGACACTTGGCAAGGTGCCAAGTGTCCATTATGTAGTCCATTTTGTAGCCCATTATGTTCATCTAGCATTTTCCAAAATATTTTTAGCAAATGTGGCGAGGCGCCAAGTGTCCATTATGTTCATCTAGCATTTTCCATAATATTTTTCCCACAACATTTGCTAAAGTCAGGCTACACTTACCCTTATTGTCTTTAGTTCCTTTAATTTTAATAGATGTATATAAAATACAAAGAGAAGTGATGGTACCCTTCAACAAAATTTTATTTCATACACTATCACTTCAGTGATGAATTTATAAAACCAAATAGATTCAGGTGAGAATCCCTACCCAAGTTGAATTTTCACTCTACATTCTATGAAAAACCATGCATCTTCGGTATGTTTCTATACACTTCAATTATACTGTTCTAATTTCGCACATATAACAAATAACCAATGGGCTATGGGGCATTTCATTATGACATAGCACGTAATAGTGAACATTGATTCGATTTAAATAGAATATATCCAACCCGTAGGATTAGAACTATAAAATTCATATCTCATTTCTGCCTTAATAAATTATTCACACAACATAGATTAGAACATCAATTTCTATGCAATATGATTTTTTCTATTTAATGTATGTCAAATTCAGATTAAAGTAAAGGCAGATATTGAATCTTATTAAGTTAGAGGCACACAACTTTGAGACAATTCAACATGCATGATCCTGGTGCCCATGAAAGTTATTATTTAATTAAACGACATCATGCACTTGTTCAAAATTAAAACCAACTTTCATGATTTTGACTAATTTTATGGAATAATTGCAGTCACATAATAATTCACAGATTCTTATGCACAATGAACACAAAAAAATTCATCTTAAGATTGTTAGGGAATACACTGATTGAAATGTTCATATTAAATTCACAAAACGTAACTTACATATTCATGAAATCGAAACAAGGTTTCGACTTAAATGTGCATATTATATTCACAAAACGTAACTTACACGTTCATGAAATCGAAACAAAGTTTCGACTTATCGAAATGTAGTTTGAGAAACTAACCAATGATTATTGAATCTGACTATTCCCATTCTTGAATTAAAACACGTGATTCTTCTTATCGAACCTTGCATAAACCATATAAATAAAATTAATCAATTTCTGAAATCAAGTATGAAGAAATGAAATTAGAAATAAGAAAAAAATTAGATGCAAGTGATGCGATTGGCCGAGGCGAGTATAACTCTTTCCTTAAGATGAATTTGCCCCTCATCGGTGCTAACGATTTTTCGACAATCATCTCCCAAGATACAACGATCACGTCAAACCATAGGAGCACTCCAAATGGCTTCAACCAACGAACTCGAACGGAATTCACTCTCTACCATAACAATGATTTTGATGCAAAAGATAATCACTTCTACAAAGTGTTTTATGTAACTTAACATGAAATGAATATTATGGAATGAATTGGAATGACAAATACACGTCCAAGAGGTCTTATATATGAAGATGAAGGGTTGTAGGTGAAGGGACACACCCCAAATCCAGCATTTTTCATGGCTTCATTTCAAAAAGTTACAACACTTCATTTTAAATCTGCATCATTTCAAAAAGTTGCAATACTTCATTCTTCCAACTTTGGACCGCAATTTCTCATTCATCCTAAATTGATTTCGAGATTTCAAATATACCACGACGATCTACTCAACAAGTAGAATAAGTTGGTCTATTTACTTTTGTAATTTGACCACTGGATCAAGTCCGAACATTCGATCGAAGTTGACATGAAGTCACACATTTTCATTTTCCCAATTTTAAACTTAACCAATATTCGGTTAATTTTTGAACCAATTCCAACAAGACACACTTCACCGATGCGCAATGTTTTTATGCTTAGACAAGCAGTCCTTTGGCGGACAAATTTCTAGAATTTTGTTTTCTTGCTCAAGGTCGAATTTCTAGAAGGAAAATTTTCATTTTTTCTGAATCAATTGAACTCTAGTCTCTAGCAGTTAAGGCCTAAACTTTTTCTCGCTTTTTTTCAGCAAAAAGTTTTTCCACAAAATATTAGACGATTTTGGACCTTTGGTGATCATATAGCCATGCCCACACCCATGTTGCCACCCCACTAACCCACGACCCACCAACTACTGTCTATTAAAATATCTGTAACCACAGTCAACAAAATAAATTTAAGATAACTTTCTATTTATTCGTTCATAATTAAAAATCGTTCATAAATACTTTCCGAACATGATTTCAACACTGCTATAAAATTAGTTCTAACTCATAACTTATTGAGATTTAATATTCTATTTTTAAAGGTCAAGCTTATTAAAAAGTGTAATTAATGCCTTTCTATATTGGTCTATATTTTTATATTTATTTGATGTGGAATTTATTTCTTAACATGTCCTCGCTTGAGTAAATCAGTATTGAAATTTGTTTGCTCATTTTTTCAATCTTAATCAGCTTGAATTGTTCGTTGAAATTTAATGAACTATGATATCATATTAAGACTTAGGAATTCATCTTAAAATGTCAATCTTATTAAAAGAAGTCGGCCAAGTTCTTATATATTTGTATATATTATTATTTTTATCTGAAGTGAGATTTTCTCTCTTAACATTATTCAACTCTATATCATAATCTCTTTGCTCATTTCAAATATTTCTCGGTGAAAATATGTTAACAAGTAGTGAGTAAAGAAAACTCAAAAGATTGTGTCCATATTTAGCCCATGTTTGGTGGCCATTTTTTTTTTTTTTTTGAAAAAAACATAGTTTTAAATAGTGATTTTTTGATGAATGTGTGGTTAAAAAGTATGAAATTTTTTGAATTTAAGTGTAGAATATTTTATAACATGAATGTTTGGTTGAAAATGAGTTTTTAAAAAATGAAAAACAAATTGGGCTTAATTTTAATTAAAAATTATTTAAAAAATGAAATAAAAATGTGACAGTGCCCTGTAATTTGTGCTAATGAGTAAGAATAAATCTACTTATACAAAGTTTGTTTACAAACTAAGTGTTGACAATATTTAGGTCATTGATTTTAAAAACTATTTTTGAAATAATTGATCTAAATGTTGTTAACATGTAATTTGTAAATCAAATTTGTCAATCTAATCTTAATTTTGCTGGCCCTATTCGTTTAGAGCATCGAATTGGCTCAAGCCAATAAGGGGCCGGGCCCCCTCCAATAGGGGGTATCAATGAGGCCCCTTGTTTGGACGGGGACCTATCCGCCCAGGGTGCTCAACCCCCCTCCAAGCAGGGGGCTTGGAGAGGCGCCAATAAGTCCAAACAACTTTATTGATCTAATTTATACAAATAACATGATTCTATGAGTAAATGCATCAGACGCCACCATATTTAGGCTCCCAAAAACTGTTATACCTTCAGGACATGGCAGAAACCACACAGCAAAATGTTAAGTACAAAGGAAAAAAAGTGAAGGAAATATCCTGTTATATCGAATTATTTATCATATTTTTTATGAGAATATTTTTATTTAAATTGATCCTTCTAGAAGAGACATAACATTTAATTAAGTATTTGACTGTTTGCATTAATTGTTTAAGTTGTTAATAATAAGAATATTTAGCATACATGTGATGGCGAGTGATTTGATGTATGAAATAATAATAAAAACTATCACATTAATATATTAAATATATGTTAGTAAACAAATGTAAATATCATTACTTAAACTTGCTTTTCAAACATATTAATACAAATTGTTTTTGTGAATTGTGAGTCACTGTCAATTTGTTACTTTCGCGTGAATGCTCGAAAAATGATGACAACAGATTCATCTGCTCTGCACTTGCAATCAGAACTTGTACAGAAGCTACCCGTGAAAATCGAGGATAACTCACCACAGAAAGAGGAAAAAAATAAAATAAAAAGGAACTGCCTCAATATTTGTCAATATTGAGAAATTACTAGGCCCCCGGACATAGTCCAGTAGTGTAAATGATAGGGTGAGGTTATCTCACGTCTTTCTTGCAGCTGCAGTGTAGATGTTCGATTTCTGAAACATGGAATTGGACTCCTTGTAGGCGCATTGTACATGCAGCTCTTGTTCTCTGACCTGTTGGGATACATTCTACGATTTACTTCCCCTAAAAAGCTCTAGGAGGGAAGCGATGGAAACCCTCAAGGTTTGGAGTTCAACCTTTTAATATTGAGAAATTACTAATACCTTCAGTGCAGTCTTTAAACTTGGATAATTCTTAAATAAATTATTTTTCTCAACCCTATAATTCAATATTTTCATTAACTAGTGTCCATACGTTTCTATGATGTGACATCCTATGTTAAGTGATCAACAATTGAATGATCTTGATATCAGAATTGACATCCAGATCTTTTATGTCCGGTAAAACTTGTTTAGTTCCTGCTCGAGACACTTTTTATAAAAATTTATTTTTTCTTAAATTTATTTTCAATTACAAATTCTTTTAACAGAATAATTTTGCACGTAAATTTAAATTATTTTTTATTATGCATTCTCTCTCTCTCTTTTTTTATTTTTTATTTTTTATTTTTTTTGGACAAAATCCGTTCTTAAAAATAGGGCTCAAACTAAGCATTACATATATATGCGCGCGCGCGCACACTAAGCTATGTTGCAATTTTATTTCACCAGTGTCAAAGCTTGTCACCTGAATATTGAACAGGCAATTTATCAAATTCAAGTTTCGATCATCTCATTTAAGAATTAATTGAAGAGAAATTAACTTTTTATGACATTCAATCATCATCATTAGAATGATCCAATTCGTGAAATTAAGAACGACCTCATTGCACCCCAATACACTTTAACACTAAAGGGGATTAGAGCATCAAGAGAACGGTTTCAAGTTTATGAATCGTTTCTTTTTCTCTTCCTTTTTTTTTTTTTTTTGGAGTGAATTATGCTAATGCAACTTTTTTGTCCACTAATTCAAAGATCCCATTGACATTTCCTAAACCTAATAAAGTGGGTTGGTTAAACGTCAGAAATCAATCTGGATCATGACAAGTTTCACATTGTACAATCATCGACATGATTTATTTTGTACTCCATATTGGAAAATGGATATTAATTAGGGTTTATAAGAGGTAATTTGCATTAATTAGTTTGGTTGTTCTTTCGCCCCTACATTAAATGGTAACTGATTGAGGGGAAATTACATTCATTATACAAATTTGAAATTTCAATGGTTATTTTTGGGGTACAGATTTTTTATTTTAATTTCTGAATTTCAAACCTAGAATTTAATTTTTTATTTTTTATTTTCTATAACCATAATAAATCATAGAAATGTTCACCATTTTTCGAAATAGTTCTGGCATAAACATGCATGAAACAATACATGGCCATACCCTAGAGTTTATATATAGACCCCCACCCCACGACACAATTGTATTTGTTCACTGTAAGCTGTTTCACCCGTCCCGCATTTAAAGATAACATATTAATATTTCAGGAAAAAAGAAAAAATGAAGAAATGGGGTGTTTTATTCTTGGTTATTTTCTTGATCCATGAACATAACCGTGTTGGAGCGGAAGATGAATTTATCAGAAGAGAAGGAGTGAATTTCATGTTAAATGGCAGTCCATTTTATGCCAATGGATTTAATGCCTACTGGTTGATGTATATAGCCTCTGATCCTTCTCAGAGAAATAAAATTTCTTCTGCATTTCAAGAAGCAGTAAATCATGGCCTTACAATCGCAAGAACTTGGGCTTTTAAAGATGCTGGAGATTCACCTTTACAATACTCTCCTGGCTCATATAATGAACAAATGTTTCAGGTTTCTTTTAATTTTTCTGATTTCTTTTCATGGATTTTTTAAATTATTTTCTTATTTTGATTTTTTGATACTGCTATGTTACACAGGGATTGGATTTTGTGATTTTTGAAGCTAGGAAATATGGGATAAAGCTGACATTGAGCTTAGTGAACAACTATGAGGACTATGGAGGGAAAAAACAGTATGTGAACTGGGCAAGAAATCAGGGACAGAATATATCATCTGACGATGATTTCTTTACAAACTCAGTGGTGAAGGAATATTATAAAAACCATATAAAAGTAAGATTGCTCACTTTTTTGTGTGAACATACACATTTATTTGTTATATTTGCAGTTTTTTTTTTTTTTTCCTTTTGTGTGTGTGTGTGTGTTTTCTCTGTTTCATATGCATCTGAGGGGTAAACCAAACTAACATGGCGTGATAGTGGTGAAAGATCTAGTAATAGAGTCAAAGCGACTTGTGTAAAATTGCTTATGTAGTCGACTCTAAATTTATTAACAAAAAAGTTGCTTAGAGCATGCTTGGGTACAAGCACTTTTTTCGATACAGCGTCACTTTACATGCTGTCAAAAAAGATGCTTTTAAGCACGCTCGAACAAGCTCTTAATTTACTCAAATTAATTGACAATATTCAAGGATTCTGGCTTGACAGATTAATATTTTTTAATCTTCATTAATACTAGGCTGTGCTCACAAGACATAACAGCATCACGGGAATTGTATACAAGGATGACGCCACAGTAATGGCTTGGGAGCTTATGAATGAGCCAAGGTGCGCAACAGATGCCTCAGGAAGGACCATACAGGTTTGCAATAATCGAATTTCTTGAGTTCTAAATGTGATTTGTCACTATTATTACATGACCTGCTACCCAAACCAATAATTTAGCCCCTGTTTAGTGGCCAGTTTTTTTCCGAAAAACATTGTTTTCAATAGTTATTTTTTGGAGAATGTGTGGTTGAAAAGTAGGAAAAATTTTAAGATTATGTGTAGAATATGTTTTTGTTTGAATGTATGGTTGAAATTGAGTATGTAGAAAAAAGAGTTTTGAAAAAATGAGAGACAAAACAGGGGTTTAATGAGCCATTCTTCAGAAAACCCGATTACTAAACTTGCCAATAATGGATTTTTCAACAGGCATGGATTTCAGAGATGGCTTCTTACTTGAAATCTATAGACAGTAAACACCTATTAGAAGCCGGACTTGAAGGGTTTTATGGACAATCAGATTCACACAAACAGCAAAACAATCCAAATTTTGAAGTAGGAACAGATTTCATAGCAAACAACCAGATTGTTAACATAGATTTTGCAACTGTTCACTCATATCCAGATCAATGGTAAGTATCCATATAAATTTATCTGTCTAAATGCAGAAATTGAGATTTCTCATTTTATATAGAAATGTATAATTACAGGTTAACCAGACAAAATGATGAAGCCCAAATCTCGTTTTTGAACAAATGGCTACAGAGTCATATCCAAGATGCACAAAACATTATCCAAAAGCCACTTCTTTTTGCTGAGTTCGGAAAATCGTCAAAAGATCCTGCTTATAGTACATATCAAAGAGACCTGTTGTTCCATAAAGTATATACAGCAATATATTCGTCAGCTGGAGGAGGTGGCGTGGCAGCAGGCGGCTTATTTTGGCAACTTCTAACAGAAGGAATGGACAACTTTAGAGATGGCTATGAGATCATATTTAACAAAAGCCCATCAACGGCCAGCCTGATTGCAGAGGAATCACAGAAGTTGAACAAGATACGGAAGAAGTATACGAGTTTAAGAAACATTGAGAAGTAGAAGAAAGCAAGGAGTTGAACTGGTGGAAATTAGTAAAATTGAAATGAGCAGCAAAGCAGAAAATATTAGTCCAAAATCTTAAAAATCTCAAGAAACACCCTTGACATAATTGAGTGGTGATTGTTCCTAGTAAATTTGGAGTCGCTAACTGATGTGGACATTAGCCTTTTGTATTATGGACTTTTGTTTATGCTTTCTTTAGTGGTTTTGTACTAATGGGCTGGTCCAAGCACTTAACTTTCAGTTTTTTCATTTTCTATACACATGGCTGGAAGTGAATCTTTTTGGGGTAGATGATGAATGAATGAATTGATAATTTGCTTGGTAATCAAGCCTTTCTCCTGATTCTTCTTCTCCCTCTGGTTCTCTTCTCCGGTCCCCCCCCCCACCCCCCGGTTGCTGCACTTCTGCTGAATATTTCATTCTGCTTCCCTGCTGTTGTTCTTCTTGCTATGTTCCATTCTCCTGCTGATTTATTATTAATTGTCATCAAATTTGGATTCCAATTCTCTGGTGGAATGCTTCAACGGATTCTACATCACTAGTATCATTTTCCGACTGCTGTTTTATCTAAAGCATAGTCTTCTAAAGAACTACATGGATGCTGTCATATCTATCCATTTTTCTTGTGGTGGAATAAATTTTTAGTGCCTGTATGAGTTTGAAGAACAATTGACAATGGAAAAGAATTATAAATAAAGCATCTTTTCTGTCAACTGTACAATTTCTTCATGGAAAATCACAAATGAAACTAGTTAACAATCAGCTATTTCATACTGCAATGGGAACCCGGTTACTATTTCATAGAAAAAAAAATAAAAAATTAGCAATAAATAAGCTTTTAAATCTAATCAGCAAGTTTCAACTGGCTCACAAACACATTGTGTTTTGTCACCATTATGTTCCGATGACATTGGTCCAATAATATGAATTTCGTGTCCCTATATTTAATTTAAACATATCATTTAAGCTAACTATATGGTCACATGGAGTGATGTTCATACCAGTAAATAAAGAATTCAACAACAATTATTCTTTTTGTACAATCGAAGTTGACAACCTTGATTCACAATGTACTCATAGGAGGGGGGGCCCACGATTTTTTTATTCAGCGTGGGCCCCCTCTCATGTATCTAATTGTCAACCCCGATTGTACGAGTTTTAATACCGAAATAAAATTATGTGAGCTATCAGAGTCTAGAATTTCATGGCGACAAGGGCCCAAATGGTCCATTTACGGGCCTGGACCGACTTGCTCACTCATCTTTCACATATTACTGAATGCTCACTCATCTTTTCATATAATTACTCATTCACCACTCGTCTCTTCAAATAATTGGGCTACTTTTACGGCAAATTTTCGACAACTTCCGATCACAAAGAATGTCGAATTTTGATACCGTTGGAAAGCCCACGATGTCCTCTTCAATTACCACCCAAAATCTCATTATAACTCCAAGGGATTCGATCGAAAAATTGCCTTAAAAGTCGCCCAAAAAATCTGAAAATCTGGTCAGATTTTCAGAATTTTTGGACGACTTTTAAGGCAATTTTTCGATCGAATCCCTTGGAGTTATAATGAGATTTTGGATGGTAATTGAAGAGGACATCGTGGGCTTTCCAACGGTATCAAAATTCGACATTCTTTGTGATCAGAAGTTGTCGAAAATTTGCCGTAAAAGTAGCTCAATTATTTGAAGAGACGAGTGGTGAATGAGTAATTATATGAAAAGATGAGTGAGCATTCAGCAATATTTGAAAGATGAGCGAGCAAGTAGTAATCAAGTGTAAAGTTCAGTGATTATTGGTTAAATTTACTCTATATATATATATATAGGTCCCAATTAGATAACATACAGCCTATAACAGGTCACAGTCCTAGGCACCCAAATTCATAGATCACATGTTGATATATTTTTAGGTATAAAGGTCACAGTAAAATAAATTTTTGGACGAAAATTAGTTGTGGATACTATTGCAAAACAATAAAATACAAAAGAAAACAAAAATAAAAATGTATCGATCAAAACTTGTAACAACATCATTTCCTAAAGTGAAATTGTTTGCTGTTAACTATTGTGATATCTTTGAATAATCACTCTCAAAATATAACTATCAAATTACTTGTTCAGCAATTTCAAGGTTTTCTCAGAATAATATTTCAATAAATTAAAATAATACTAGAATCGAGTATATTAAAATTATCGAACATGAAAATGATTTTTGGTGTATTTTTCAAAGAGCAGAAGTTGTATATATATAGTCACAAAAATTATAATTTCTCCCACAATAAGTTAGAATGAAAGAAAAAATAATTGTGATTTTTATGATTTTAATAAATCATCAAAGTAACTCTTCAACTATTATATTTTGATGGCTAGTTTGACAAAATAAAAAATAATAATAATGATGATTAAAATAATTAAAAAAAATATTTTAATCAAAGAAGTTTACGGTCTCAAGGTCCAATCGTAGATTTTTTATTTTTAAAATTATAACTTCTACCACAATAAGTAGAGTTAAAGAAAACTAATTGTTATTTTTATGATTTCAATAAATCATCAACTCTCTAACTACTATATTTTATGGGCTAGTTTAACAAATAATAATAATAATAATAATAATAATAAATAAAATGAAAATGACTAAAATAATAACGATAAAAAAAATTTTAATGAAAGAAGCTCAAGAACGGAAGTCTCAAGCCCAATCATAAATTTTTTAATATTCAAGTGAAATGTAATTAGAACCATCAACTTCCCACATTAATTCCACACTTTTTACCATTCAACAATTTATACCAATTTAATTACTTCTTTGAATAATACATTTGATATACATCCAACACAAAGTCACAATCCACATTAAAAGAAACTAACATGTCACGTATTGATTATGTTTCAATCAGACATTATATTAAGTCACAATTACACAATTTATCACAATTATCTATAATTATATTAAAGTATCACATTAAGGCAGAATAATTTTTTAGACGATTTTAACTCCCATACAATTTAATTATTTCAATAATATCTTACTTTTCGTTTTTCGATATGTAATAAATACTATATAATTATTGTTGTTTATGAAATTTATGTTATTAATTCTCAATTAATTAACATCCATATTAATGTTCCAATGAATTTTCACTTGATGAATCTTGAATTATATGAATCTAGAATTGTTATAGATTAATTTATTTATATTCATGTATCTAAAATTTTAATGGGTGTTTAAATTTATGTAACAACTAATTTTTATGTATCAAATATAATATAAAAAGATTCCTCATTTAGAGCATTTCATCATTACCAAAAATTTGAATCATAGAAATTGAGTTTTAAGAATACAATTTAAGTATAATTTTCTTCCCTCAAATTTCTATGCTAAATTTTATTTTTTCTAATTCGTCTGGGACTAATCAAATCATTCAACAAATTGGTACCGAATATTACTTTTACATTACTTGTAAAGTATTTTTAAATAACATGCAATGCACGTTCAATTTTGACTAGTGTATCAAAATAGGTCACAGTCATATAACACCTGATTTTTTTTTAAAAAAAAATTATGATTGTTAGTTTTCAAATTGTATTTTTAAACTATTAAATATATGATTTTTTTTCCCAAAAACTCAAGAGTGAAAGGAAAAAGGAAACTAGGCCGTGACAGCCCGCTGTCATGGATATATAAACAAATTGATAAGTTTATTTTGGACCCATCTAATTTAACTATAGTCACAAGCAGGATGGATAAACACCTTAAAATTGGGTATTGCTTGTTGAAAGATAATAATGCCATGAATGTCTATTTAATATTTACGGAGTAGATAATATTTAATAATTCGAATAGACGGTTCTATTTTATAAAAAGGCCGACTCGAGACTTAATCCTATTGACTACAAATGAAACTCAAAATCAAGAATATAGAATACTTGAGATGTTAGAGAAATGCTACACTGTCTGTCATGGAAAAATTTCACAGGTTCTCACAAACAAGTGGGTCCCATGATTTTTGGAGGTGAGACCTACCTGTTTGTAAAAGACCTGTAGCAGCCCGGTCAAATTTTCCATTAACAGTCTGGCTTATTCCAAATCAGTATACGGAAAGTGAAAATAAAAAAAAAAAAAAAATAGATTTTCTCTTCACACTTATTTAGTTCTTGTTTGGTCTCATTTTTATCCAAATACATTTTCTACCACATATTCTCTCAACGAAATAATTTTTTACTTAAACTCGTAATTTTTGTCAACCTTTTGATTACACATTTTTCAAAAAATTCACATTTCTATCTACCAGACGGGGGCTTAGTTTCATAGCCGAAGCCTGAGATATTTACAATTAGAGTAATGCTATTTGCAGTCGTTCACTGCGGTAGTCGTCATACGTGGCATACACATGGCAAGTGATTATTTGATGTATTAATGTGGTAGTTTTTTTATTCATTAATGTATCAAATAATCACCTGCCATGTGTATGCCACGTAGGACGACTGTCGCAGTGAACGACTGTAAATAGCATTATTCTTACAATTATTCTGTTTTGACATTAGTAGGCTGGAGTACAGTACATTTATATAAGCACAAGTTACGAGATAATTACTTGAAATTTTTCTCAAGCCATTTTCTTTTCCTCGTCGAAGCACGTGGGGGGAGGAAAGTTGACATTAAATGGTTTGATTTCAGGAAAGGGCTAATTGAAAAGGCTTTATCTTTTGAAACTATGCCAAACAATATTCACTTTCAGTCATTGCCAAGAAAACAGAAAAATCTGTCTTCAGTATATTATCAAATTATTAACACAAACGTTGGAAAATAATTTGATTTTTTTACCTTTTGTTCAATACATCGAATCAGAGTATATATACATAGGGTTGAGCACTTTTTCCTTGAACCAGTGGAACGTAACATAAATTAAACTGAATGTTATTCGCACACTATCTTTGTCACATTAGCCCCCGTTTGGCCCCCATTAATTTTGATTATAATGGAGGAATAGTATTTTTTTTTAAAAAATGGATGGTTGTAAAAGAATGAATTTTTTTTTTATTTGCATGTAATATTATTGAATTCAAAATTGTGTAGTTGAAAATAGGAGAAAGGAAATTTTAATTTAATTTGATGAGATTTAATGAGGGTCAAACGGGGGCTGAATGGATAACCTGGTTGAAGAGGTGGGTTTAGGCTAGGTGAAAAAGATGGTACAAATATTATTCTTTTGGATTAAAAACTTCTAAATATTATCCCCAAAAAAGATAATTTTGGATATAATGCGTTATGTAAGATATTTTCTTTCCGATTATGCTACATATGTAATATGTTTACGTCA